CTGCTGCTGCTGCTGCTGCTGCTGCAGAGCGTTCGAAGTCGCGGCGCGCGCGCGCGCGCATCTCGTGCGACGTGCGCATATCACCCTTCCTGCATGCTGGACCGTATAGCGGCTGAATCCCGCCGCGGCTTTCGGCTCGGCGTGCTGCCATTTATATTATAAGCGCAGACAGACGGCTCGAGTGACAGCAGCGGCGGCGCAGCGTCATCACAGCATACACATACAGCGAGCTGCTGTTTGGCATCGGTATACAATTAACAAATGAAGAATCAAGAATAAAATGTGAGCGAATTGATGAACATGCAGCGCCATGCATGAGCATGGAGGCCCGCGCAGCATGTATATATATATACGCGCGCCTACCGCGCGCCGGCCTAGATTTCCGCCGAGGTGTGTGGTGGATGATGCTGCTGCGGTGCTCTCCTCCTTGCGATGCTCTCACACGTACACAGCATAGCACACCATAAATAGCCAAACACAGCAACGCGAGGGAGCCCATCACACCTACACCCACAAGCAAGATGAACATGTTCGTGTGCAAATGACTCACATTCAGATTCAGTCTTTGGCTTTTGAAGTCCATGGGCAAGTCTTGGGACGCGAGTCGTGAGTTAAGTGTGAGAACAAGAAGTTCAATCAGAACCTTGTATGTCAATCACGAATGTCGAAAGATTACGGTGACTCCTTTTGGCCTCCAAGCTGCCCGCTGCGCAATGCTGCGGCTGCGGCTGCTCTGCAAGCGCTCCTCAACACGTAGCGGACGATACCGAATGGAGACTCAAGTCCAAACATCGGTATGAGGGCTAGCAAGTAAGAAAGGAGCAGCTCCAGAGTTCGGCTTCGGGCGACTGGGATGAATGTGAATGGCTTCTGACTCGCCGACACTTTCCCTGCGCATCAGAAGAGAAGCGCTCGAGATCAAGGATGAATGCTTCAAAGCGCAATTGACCCGCGACTAACAGGTTGCCACCCACGAGAAATAATGCTTCGTGATCCTCAGATAACTAACACCTTTGTCACCCTGACCGCGTCTTGCTGGAGTTGAAACGGCAGATATGTGAACAAAGATGGCCGGTCGTGCAAAAGAGCTCTCCGCAGGTCCACGTGGCTCGGAATCTGCCGCGGCCGTGGATTGCCGGCGTCTCTCCGGATCAGACAACCTATTCTATATATATGGAGGGTACAGGAGAGTGGAGGGCGAGCCGAGATGACAGCGCCCTTATCGTTGCCAGCATGCAAGTGAGATTGATGTGTTGTGGTGAGGACTGACATGACAATCCGCGCTCATCGTGATATAGTAGTAGTCTTGAGCAGGAGCATCGTGCACTCGTGACTTGAGTGCCCATTCTCGCGAAGCAACAAGTCTTGAGTCACAAGCGTAGCAAAATCACAATGAAGAGTGCAGCACAGTGAAGACGAAACGCGTTGCCACATACCATACGAAGTGGCATTCAAGATTGATCGAGTTCAGACAGCCAGCCCCGCCTTCGCGGCCTGCAATCACAACAATCACGAATCACAAATGCTCACTTCACTCACCAGCAGAACACTTCGTCCCTGCTGCTGCTTTGTCCATTCATCATCGCCGCTTCCACGCGACGCGCGCGTTACACACGCGGGGCCCACCAATAACTTCGTTCATGCATGCACAACGAATCGCGCCTTGCGTGAAGACACGCCGCGTGACTAGGGGCCGCCCAATATATCTGATGCTGATGCATGCATGATGCGTAACTGCTGGGATGCCCGCGGCCGCAACAGCGTACAGCCTTGTCCAGCTGTTGGGCTTTGCCCATGCAGATCAATAATAGCAGCAGCAGCTGCTGCTGCTGCTGCTGCCTCGCTGCCGTTGTGGCATGGACCTCGCGGTGCATGCATGGGACACGCTCGTGACTGTGCACATTCGGGACGGCAAAGGCGACGGACGGCGACGCACACACCTTTGTCGAGCTTTCATTCACGGCGCGGGTGTACGCGTGCCGCTTCTCATCCTCATTCAGATCGACGGCAGACCGGCCATCCTGAGATTCTGGCGTTGCACTTCATTTCATCCCTGGTTGCCGAGTCGCGGTGACGACTCACGACTGTCCCTACCTCGAATACCGACCGCATAGTGCGGGTCAATTGGCGCTCATCAGTTGTCATCCGTCGCCCTTCTATTTCGCTCGTCATCCTCCCACCTGGTTCGCTCTGAAGTCATGTACGCTTAGAGCTTTCGACTGGGCCCGGTCTGACTTCAGGCAGTCGGCGGCAGCGGGACACCTAGTAAACATTGGCGTCACATATGCCCGACCTTTAATCGTCTTCGTCAACGATCACTACGCGCTTACAGTCGACCGCCACTCTGGCTGCTCTCGACATCGAACGAGAAATTTCAGCACACCAACCTGCATTCGCGATCACAGCCCCTCAGACGCGTAGCACCCCAGGATCTTGGCGTCAGGACACCGCTCTCTTATGCTAGTCTCACTTTGAGCTTCTTCTAGCACCTTGCCACCCGCATTTGCACCCACTCAACAGTTCAGACTCTTTGGATCCGCTCTTGGGCGCACGGCGCCGCTTAGCATCGAGCGAGGAAGCTGCGTTCCTTGTCCTCGGGGTTCGTGCGTTCAAGATGAATACCATCTTTGGACGTAATAAAGGTCGCTCGCGCGTGCCAACAAACGAGAGCTCTGGGTCTTATAACTCATATGGCCCATCTGGTCCCTCGAGCCCCTCTTATCAATCAGGCTACAGCACCGCTGAAGTCATAGGAAGCAACACGGGCCCTAGGATGCAAGTGGGGCCTCCAATGCCCGTTGCAGCGCCAAGGAGTAGTGCAATGTCATATGTGAGTGCTCACCTTAAGAGGTTCCGCTTCATCGTTCTTGGGCGCCCTCTGTGGTAAGGCCAGCTCCACGACGACGCATCCCCAACTGATTCACTCACCTCCACCCCTTTGTGGCCCTACTCAACAGCTGCAATCAGATCCAATGGCCGGGAGCTCCCAGCGATCGAGATCAAGTCGGGGGGATCCAGACGACTTTGGCACGCACTCGAGCGGCTCCTCGCCCAGCTCCTTGCACAAGCGCACTCCGTCGGGCGCTTCTGGCGGCAGCTCTCGATATACAGGCCCTCCTGTTTCCGACTACGGCACCAGATCCTCCAGACTGACATCATCCACCACATCCAGCTCGGCGCATCTGGGAACACATGACATCTTGAATCGCATGTCGATAGCTAGTGCAGCGTCAGCTTCGATAGGGCAGCCAATCTTCAGCTCAGAACACCACCACACCCACATCCCTGCCATGCCACCCACTTCTCGCTCGCATTCGAGCGTGTCCTCCCAGAGGGGTGCTGGTGGCTCAGGTCCTGCGCCAGGCTCGCTGACTGCGTCCGAATTTTATTTTGCGCGTCCAGACGACGCCGAGGTGGAGCGTCTCTTTGCGGATCTGATGGACAAGCGAGATTTTCTCAATGTACCTGGAGGTAATCTTACTGACGAGCTGAAGGAGCAAGCGCGGCGGAACATGCTCAGCTTTGCGCCGGACAAGAAGTGGCAGCTCGTCTACAACGACAGGCTGACAGAGTGGCATGGCGAACGGGAAAGGGAGAGAAATCGCAGGCACGCTGGCTCTGGCGCGTATGGAGGTCCGGGAGGCGCGAGTGCCTCAATGGGCATCGCTCGCAACACTCCAGAATGGTTCATCAAGAAGTTTATGGACGGGACTGTGACGACAAAGCACATCGAAAGCCTGGCCGTCACTCTACGAACGTGCGCCATCGGGTGGATCCAGGGCTTTGTAGAAGCTAAGGGAACTCCAGTACTTGCTAGCTTCCTCAATGGCTTGCATTCCAAGGGCGTCAAGTCGGATACCGATTTGGCCCTAGAATACGAGGTGCTCAAGGCCTTTAGAAGTCTCTTCAACTCGAAGCCGGGCGCAAATGATGCGCTTGCTCAACCAAAGTGCATCAACGGCATCGCACACTCAATGGTCTCTGCTCACTTGGCGACTCGCAAGCAAGCTGCAGACATTCTGCTTTTCTTGTGCCACTGGGACAAGCCCACAGGTCATCGTCTCGTGCTACGAGGTTTCGACGAACTCAAGGCCTTCAACTCGGATCACGGTCGCTTTGACGCCTGGTTCCGGGTCCTAGAGCAGACCATCGATGGCAGAGGGACTTTGGGAAGTCGCGTAGGAGCCAGCGAAGAGATCAAGAAGCTTAGTCTTGCCGGTCCCAACGGCGCCGCTTTGGACTCCTCGCTCAACGAGTATGCCATCAACAACATGTTCCTGATCAATGCAATACTGAAGGAGGAGATTGTACCCGAGTTCGAGGTGCGCGTGCACCTGCGCAACCAGATGGATGCGAGCGGCCTGCAACGCATCTTGATCAAGATGAGAGCTTTCAAGAATCCAGACCTGGATAGTCAGATCGGCCAGTACGAGAAAGGCGCAGAGGCGGATCACGATGACGTTGTAGAGAACTGGAATAAGGATGTGCTGACGGATATGTCGGACCCCGTGGACGTCTTCAAGGCTGTGGTGGAGAAGATATCCGGCTCGAGAGCATACGACTTTTTCCTTTCGGCGCTACAACACTTGCTTTTGATCAGGCAAGAGGGAGACGGCCTGGTACACCATTATCAGCTCATTGACTCTATGATAACGTCGGTAGTGATGGACAGGAATGGAGCAGTCGAGAGCAACGACGTCAGCTCGCTGCTCGGCACCAGCGTCAATTCGATACTTGCGCGCTTTGCTGATCAAGAGCAGCAAGCCACAATGCAAGCGGAGCTCGCGCGGACGAAGGCGCGATTGCGGGAGCAAGAAGAAGAACGGCGTCGCTTGGAGTCACAGCTCAATCAAGGCAGCCAAGGTCTGATTGGCGAGCTTCAGCGTCGCATCGAGATCCTTGAGGAGGATCTTGCACTTGCGCGAGGCAACACGTCGGCCGCTCAGAATGAGATGGAGGACATGGAGAAGGCATACGTCGATAGAGTGGTAGCCCTTGAGATCCAGATTCGAGAGCTATACGACATGCTTCGAGAAGCACAGATGGAGGGTGGCGTAGCTGATCCTGCGGACAATCCTGGCAGTCTGGATCGTAAGCACCTAGTCGAGACGCTCGAGAAGCAACTTGAAAGAAATCGAACTATCAAGAAGCTCGAAGCAAACGCTCGCAAGAAGCCGCTCTCCACTGCCGGCGCACCGCCCTTGCCCGAGACACGTGAAGCTGAGGAAGCTGCTACTGCCCTGCAAGAAGAGGATCGCAAATCTCGTCAGCGGATTTCTCGAAGCGTGCGGCGCCAATCTCGCGCCAACAGTCGCAGTGCCGCGGCCGCTGCCCTCGAGGAAGCTCCAGGAGAGGCTACTGAATCGGCGTTGGGCCAGAGCAGCGACGAGGACCTCGACCCGCAGAGCGACGCCGCGAAGTGGAAGATCCAAGCTACTCTCGCCGCTGGAATGGCCCGCAACACCGAGTTGCAGGGCCGGATGGCGGATGCCCGAGCCACGCGACGCAGGCGAGGCACGGGCCAAGCCAGTGACTTGATCGTGCCGGAACAATTGCTGCCCGAGCACCCTGCTTCGTCGCCTCCGACCTCTGCAGCTACCGTCACGGATCATGCACCGCGCGAAGATGCAAGCTTCCCAGCGCCTCCTGCGCCTCCTCCCCCCCCTGCCGTCACGAGCGATGGCCCATCACTTTTGGATGAAATCAGAAGGAGAAAGGGCACTCCGAATCGGACTGCTGCCACTCCAGCGCAGGAGCTCGCTGCTTCGCCAATGCCTGCTCATGCGCAGCCTGTTTTGAGCGACATGGGACCGCCTGCGGTCCCAGCTTCTGCAATTGGGCCACCTCCGCCTGCTCCACCCCCTCCGCCGCCGCCGCCGCCGCCGCCACCCGCACCTGGTATGCTGGTCCCTCCCGCATCGAGAGGCCAAGTAGGACAAGCACCACCGCCCCCGCCTCCACCGCCTTTGCCAAGCCCGGCACAGCTGGCAGCCATTCCGGCCACTCCACCTCCACCTCCGCCACCGCCTCCTTCCGCCTCTGTGCTCGGCACGCCAGTGTCCGCGTCGTTCGCGACCGATCCCGCTCGAGACTCGCTCCTCGATGTGCGAGCAAGTTATGCAGGGTCTGGACTCGTTGGTCCCGCTCATGCACCGCCAGCGCCTCCCCTGCCTGGAGGACTCTACGCTAATGCGGCACATCGCAAGGAAGTGATGGAGATGGCCAGAACACGTATGAAGCAGTTGCAGTGGGACAAGCTTAATCCGCAGCATGCCGCAGAGACTGTCTGGGGTACCACCAATCATTCAGACGAGGCCAAGCTGACTGAAATGTTGCGCGAGCAGGGACTCTTCGAAGAGATGGAGGAGGACTTCAAGGCCAAACAGATCGCGAGGCGTGCCACTCAGCAGAATGGAGCTGCAAAGAAGGACAAAATGGAGTTCAAGACGCATCTCAGTCTTCAGACACGGCAGGGTATCGAGATGGTGCTTCGACGCATCAAGAGCAGCCTCACTGGTGCCAAGCATGCGACACCCGAGGAAGTTGCTCACCACATTGTCAATTGCGACGAAGCGGTGCTGGACGAGAGCTTCTTGACCGAACTCTTGAGGCACTATCCCGAAAGCGAGACCAAGGGACAACTTGGCGAGTACCGAAATGCGTCTGATGAGGACCTCAGACTTTTGCATCCCGCCGATCGTCTTGTCGTCCTATTGATGACGGTCCCTCATTTGAAGGAGAAGGTGAAAGGTCTCCTCTTCATGACGCGATACCGCGAGGTGTTTGATCTCATCAAGGAGGGGTCCACACGCATACGTGACGCATCGGAAACGCTGGTGCACGCCACGAACTTTGCGCGTCTCCTGACACTCATCCTGATGATGGGTAATTACCTCAACGCGAACGGTGTGCAAGGAGGGGCGTTCGGCTTCAAAATATCGAGCATCAACAAGCTTGTGGACACAAAAGCCAGCGACGGGACGACGCTTCTGCACTTTGTGGAGCGGACCATCAACAAGTGTTTCCCAGAAGTAGAGTCATTCCTCGAGGAGCTCGACAAACCCTCTGAGGCTTGTAGAGGTGAGTGTCGGCTCATGTTGAGTGCCTTTGGCCGTGTGAGACTCATAAACGTCCTTTGAACTTTAGTGCAACTGCTTGACCTAAAACGAGACCTCGCGGAGCTCAAGTCGGGCAGTCTTCAGCACAAAAAGGAGCTCGATCGCTTTCTGGACGAAGCGGAGGAGCGCATCGAAGACCCGTATACCAAGCTCATGCTGCCATTCCTCAACGAGGCTCATCAGCATTTGCAGCGCCTCTCCGATCAAGTCACGATGACAGAGCGAACGTATGGAGATGCACTGAAGTACTTTGGAGAAGGTCCCGATCCTCGCCGGCGAGGTTTCCCGGCCCAGCAACCAATGCGTACAGAAGACTTCTTTGGCATCTTCCGAGAATTTTGCACAGCTTATCGCAAGGTCAAGGCTGACAATGTCAGAATCGGCGAGCAGAGAGCCATGGAAGCCAAGCGTAGAGCAGCGGCAGAAGAACGCGAAAAGGAGAGGCAAGAAGCTCTTGCGCGCAAGGAAGCAGGGGTGGATGATAGCGCCGTCTTGGAGACGTTACTTGGCACTCTGCGCTCTGGTGGCATGCAACCCAAGCAGAAGCGTAAAGCTAGAGCTCGACGATCTGCGGCCAAAGAAGGCTCGCCATCGACTCCTACTGCGATCGAAGGCAATCCGTCGGATATCGCAGCAGCCATGCTCGCCAGGCTACAAGGAGACGCTGGTGGAGCTCCGTCACCTACTAGCACTTCCTCTGCTAGCCGCTTGGTGCGCAGAAGGGACAGGCGAGGTGCTAATCGCAGCTCTGATCAGCTCAAAGATGCATCGAGCCCCGTCCTACAGCAAGCCACTGATCTGGCAAGTCCCGGGGAAGCGCCAACGGTCGATGTGCCAGAACTTGAAGAACAACCTGATCAGGATCACGGATTGGTGGAGTCTGCGGAGGCCTCGCCTACCACAGAGTACGCTTCTGGGGAAGACGAAGAGGAAACGGTTGGCACAGAGGAGCAAGTGCAGCCTGCCGAGATATTGTCTGATGACGCAGCGATTGAAGCCGATATGTCGACTGGCAGCGCTGGACAGTTGGCAGGGCTTGATTGGGTCGACCCAGACGTGAGCGGATTCAGCACCACCTCTGCGCCTCGAGCTTCGACACCGGATCAGACAGTCAGGCCTTGAGGCATCTGGCAGTTTTGAGCATGCTTTGTCTCGCAATGCTTCATCTTCCGTTACCTTTTGATTGCCTGCTACTCAGGTGTGCATCGTCGGGCAGACGACGGTTGCGTGTCAGTGCTCTCACCAAACAGTATCTATTTTACCTCTCCGCCTCGTGTCTGTGACCGCGTGGTCCGCCTTTCCTTCACTGCAGTTGTACTAAACCGTCTTCACCTTTTTGGCAACTTGTGATTCGAATGACTTGCCTTTGGACGATGAGCTGTGCTAGTAGCATCGCAGCCCAAATCAAGGTGAATGAATTAGGATTGGTAAGTAGTCTCTGTATTGACGTGAGTATCTCGTGCTGTGGCGCTGCGTACATGTAGCTATGGGCGCGCAAGCGCGTGCGTCGTGCAGACCTATTTGGCCGATGGCATTGCATACGCGTATGCATGATGGGGACCATGCACCCAGTAGCAGCAGCATCCCGCCCTGCGGCCGGGCTCCTCGGCACGGCAAAGCCGCGCGCTAAATAAGATGTTCGCATCATCAGCAGCAGCATATCATGCGCACCACCAGTCGTGAGTCACGAATTTGAGCCGCGAGCTGCTGCGATTTCGTTTTAAGCTTCGTGAGGCTCGCGCAGCAGGGGCCACAACGCGCGCAGCGTGCAATGCGCGCAATTGTTTGTACTTCACCTCGCGCACTTTCGACTGTCAGGGGCCACACGAGGCGTTGCAGCTTGTTGCAGCCCACAGCCAGCTGCGAAAGTCCACCTTCGCAACTCACGACTGAAATCCTATCCCAAACGCATCAATCAGCATCAGACAAGCCCACAGTCCGACTTCTGGTGATCTGTGGGCTATAAGCTTTCCGAGATCGCTATCTTGTCTGCTGCTTGCGATTGGCAAAACTGCCATCGCGCCCACACATCTGATAGCCTCATACGGACGTGAGCCCAATCTGACAGCGACACAAACGACTGACCCTCGAGCCTTGGCATACGACCTCAGCTTTACCTTGGCACTCAAGACCCGATGCTTCAACAATCGCCATGACGCAGTCAGTGGGTGGAGAGGTGGAGCAGATACACGAGCTGGATGCGCAGCTGCGATCCGATGCTCTTTCACATCTGCGCCGCTTCCTCTCCATCATTTCGCCAGCAGACTTGATTGACGATGAAGCAGCGCCTCTCCCAGACTCAGATTCCGAGCTGCGTGAAGCGCCCTTGTCAGCGTGGACGAAGCTGCACTCCACGCCAACGCTCAACATTGTTCGGCACCCCACCATGCCCCTCTTCAGCATCAGCTCGTTCCTAAGTGGCGTCACTGTGGAGCAATTTTGGACGCTCATGGCTAGCATAGAGAACCGCAAGCTCTGGGATGCGAGCTGCGAAAGTGGGCATGTCGTGCGATGGCTAGACGGGCTGGGCAGTCTCAAGCAGGCTCTGAGAGTGGAAGAGATGCGCTTCGGAAGCGTGTAAGTCTCGTTCGGAGTAGTGCATACAGACCGGTCTGGGGGCACGCATCATCCGCACAGAATTCATCACTGATACCTGCACACATGTCTCGCTCACAGCTTTATGGTGGCAAAGCCACGATGCTTGCGCCTGCTGAGTGTCGATGTGCAGCTCGCCAGCACGGCAGACTCACCGATGCGATTGGCGTCCATAAGCGCCTCGACTCGTGGGCCTGCTCCTCCCAAGGGCTACACACAATTCGAATTGGGAATTGGTGGTTTTCTCGTCGAGGCGATTCCAGCCCAGGACGGCATTCGTGTTACTCAGCTGTCCGATCTAGGTGAAGTTGCTGCGTGGGTGCCTCAAAGCGTGGTGAAGCTGGTCAGCGCAACGCTCGTCCCTCGCAGTTTAGCCAACATCGCCAAGATTGCCAAGCGACTCGGAGAGAACCCGATACTCACGGGCGAGACATCTAAATATAGGGAAGACATGGAGGCTGATCCGCTTATAGAGGTGTCGGGAGGTGCTCTTTGGCACAGAGAGCGCCTCTTGCCTCCTCTTGTACATACATGCTTGGCAGAGCTACAGCCAGAGAGGCTGGCGCAGCCCGCGTCGTCATGCTCACCACTCGAGCCTACGCAGCTCGGCGACCAGATGAGCGCTCCTCATCGTCGTGCTCACTCAAGATCCATCTCCTCCGCCTTGAGCAAATCGACGCAACCCTCCGGCAGCTCCTTCACGCTCACCTTGCAACGCCTCTCGACTCGTCTGTCCAGCTCTTTCCGAAGTCCCTCCACTTCCCCAAAGGAGCTCAGAAGAGGCGCATCCGAAGGAGCCGAAGGCTATCCCTTTCCATCGTGCCCTACTCCAGCGAAGAGTAGACCCGCTTTCTTGCGTTCTAAATCCGGCCTGTCTGCAACTTCGACCGACATGAGCGTCTCAGTGTCGACTATGCAAGACTTGTGTAGGACATGGGAAGAGTCTGCAAGTCTTGGTGGCAGTGAAACTGTTCCAGGTACGCCAATTGATGAGACCATGGCAAGGAGTGGCCAGCTTGCCGGCGTGGAGGAGGTGGACACGTCAGCCGAAGAAAACTCACCAGATCCAGGGGCATTGGGCCTCTCTAGTGACGAGGAGCTGGTGCGGCCTCTGACATCAAAACTTCGCCATTCCCATGTGGAACAGCACACTATCGATGCTCACTGGAAGCGGCTAACGCTTGCCCTAGCTCCAGGGGAGCGTCCTCCCGACCCGCAAGCGATCAGCTCCGGCGCTTGGGCGCCCGAGTCTTCCTCCGTCGCTCCCATGGGCTCTGAAACACACCGGACAGCCACCTCGGATGCAAACACTGCCCAGGCGTCCGAAATCCCAGAGCTCCTTGCAGATGCGTTGCAAACGTCGTTGTTGCCTTTTGATGGGCGCCGGCGATCGCGCAGACTGGATCGCCGAATGTCGAGAGCAGAGCGCGATGCCCAGCGGCTGTCGAACTTTCTCATACTCGGTTCTGATGCGCTTTCCATGGTTCTTGCTCCCGCAGCGAGACAGAGCATCATAGAAAGGTCCACGCCGCTTGCGTCGTCGAATCTAGATCCTTGGCAGGAAGACAAGGACGAGAGATCCAGCTCTCACGGCGATGATTCGGATGCCTCGAAGCCAAGCATGCTCTCAGCCAGTGTGCTCCCACCCTCTCTGAAGAAGCTGGGCAGGGCTCAAAGTGCCTCTTCAGCCAGCGTGGAAACCGCCGCGACCCACGCATTCGGTCATCATGATGCAACCATTTCACAGGCTCATCCTCCTAATTTCGGTCATAGCCAAGGCTGGAGCTACTCTTCCATAGCTGAAGTGCCGTATGCGGTCGCTCTGGGACTGATCAATCTGAGCTACGTCGCTCTGGCGACGGCTGGACGCCAATCCGAGCCACACTCACCTGATCCTGCTCACGGTGCGCGCAGAACAAGTCACAGCTGCCCATCGAATGCTTCCGCTGGTCTGGACCACTTCGCATTTGCTGCTTCCAGCACACATGGCACCTCGGCATTTGCAGCGCCAGCGTCTCCAAGCCAGATTTTCATCGCGGCCGAGCCGGCCAGGAGATCCGCGTATGATCCAGCAGACTCCAAGCTGCATCCGTTCCCAGGATCGCTGGGCCGAAAGCATGCGGGTGTCGATTTGCCGCCGATTGGTCAACATCACTACCAGTATCTAGAGAGGGCTGCTGAAGTGCATTCGGCGACGAAAGGCGAAGCTTCGACGCAATACACCCAGTCTTCCTATCTCGCTAGTAGCCTCAATTGGATCGCCAGATCCGTCTACCTGCGGTGATGCACCACTACGAGGGCTCGTTGGATCGAGCGGTAACCGCTTGCGACGTTGCGTGCTGTACCCGTGCATCACGCGTACAAGTCACCTCCGGGAGACACGCCTGCTGAGCTCAAGTGCACACCGGGTGAGCAACTTGCAAGGCTCTGGTCCAGAAGAGCGCTTAAAGTGCGACTTAAGCCGTACGAAATAGGAAAGTGGTCTGTCTGTCGCCTGTTGACTAGTCAGCGGGCGCGCACGGGGGAAGGAAGCATGTGTATGATGCCATGCATGCAACACCGCCTCAAGCATGAGGCGGATTTCTGTAGGCATTCTAGGTAGGAGACTGGTCAACGCGCAGCAGCTTTCAGCATCCCCCTGCCAGTCAATGCACGCATTGTCCCAAGCCTCGCGTTCACAACGGATTCAACTCGACCCTGCGCGCATACCTACCTGAAGCGGCACATCTATCGCAGCTGTCCCCGAGAGCTTGGCATATCGAGGACTACTGCCTCAATCGCCTGAGGCTGGCAACGTGACCTGCGCGGCGAGCTGCCCAATGCGAACAGTGCTCGACGTGAAGGGGTCGGTGAAGCTTCCGCCGCTACGGCAAGGCGTGGGTAATTGTTCGCGAAGAAATGTTCCGAAGGTCTCAGGATCTGCTCGATGAGCCTGGCCTCGTCCGCTGAGGCCACTTGCGGCTGAAACTCCAGGTGTCGACGTCTTTCAGGATGCTAGGCCTAGGAATTGCTTCCATGGCCCCACAATCTGCTCGAGCTCGACGCTCGCAACTGGCGATATGGTGAACTTGCACGCCATGCTATGGCAGAGATGTATGGGAGCTTGGCCGTCTAGGGAAAGTCATAAAAGGTGGCCCATTTACGTCCAAGGTTCCCCCATCTTTCTTCATCTCACACAAAGCCTTCTCGACGCACAATCACAGCATCTGCCAACGTTAACAACCTTCAGACCTTGGTCTACCCTTTACCTTTTACTTATCAACAAGTCAACATTTACTCTTGACCTCGACAATGTCTCGTCAACAAGCATTCAACTCTTACATCCGAGACCGCGAGACCGTCTCGCCTCCTCCAGCCATGACGGCGGCGCCTTACTTCGAGTGGGTGACCGCTGACGAGCACATCGCTTGGGTCAGCGCAAGTGTCGAGCGTCTTGTTCGTCCGCATCTCCACCAAGCCAGCCTCAACGAGGACGATCGCAGCTTCGATGGGCACGTTTCAATGAGCGCCGAAGTCGAAACTCTCTCCTCGGTCTGTGATAGCGTCAGCGCGCCGACTCCATCGGCCGCCCCCGTCAACAAGCTCATTGCTTTGCCTTCCTCTATCGACGAGGACGCGTCCAGCTTGCTTGACCAAGAGCGCGTGATTGCGCAGCCTACCTCGGCTCAGGATGATGATGTACTCGCCGCACTGGAAGAGGGTGCTTACTGGCGCTCTCCTCTTGGCACCAATCAGGCTACTCCTGCCGACGGTGGCCTCAGCTGGCCCACCCCTCTCAATGTCTCGGAGTCTGGATCGCCGGAAGTCTACTTCAATCACAGCCTCACATCCACGCCCATGATTCGCACTCGTGGAAATGTGCTGTCCACCCCAGCATACCCACTACCCAGCGTTGATGTTGTCAACGCCCTCAGCGAGTGTCGACGACGGGCTGCAACAATTGATGAAGATCAGACCCCAAGAGCCCTCGGTGTCAGGTGGGGTGCCTACTCGCTGGCTGAGGAAGCCGAATACATTCGTGTGTTGCACACGCGTGCACAACGCAGACCCGAGTGCAACCAAGTGTATGTGGATCACAGATCCGACTACACGACCACAACGTGCGGGGCCCGATCTCGCTCCACGACCTTCACGTCTGTTGAGAGCGGCTCCCCACTCAAGGGCCTCGGCATTTCCGGAATCGATGGGCCCCTGCGAGTCCCTAGCAAGGCACCCTCCACTCAGCGTCAGGTCCGGGAAGCTGCCATGTATCTTCGCGAATTTAGCATGGCGCACGCCGAAGAAGCGCGTCAGCGGATGGCTGATCAGGCCACGAACGCACGACGAACGGCCGGCATCAAGGAAGCTGGCCTTGCTATCCAGCAATTTGGCGCCGCTCATGCCGACAAAGCTCGCGCGCGCCTGCTCCAGGCTAATGAGGCCAAGGACGAGACCAGAAAGACCAGACTCCTGTCGATCGATGTCGTCCGCAAGTGCATCCAGCGCCGTAGAGAAGCCAAGAAACTTCAACAAGCCGAGAAGCTTAGACGCGAGAAGGTAGCCGACCAGATCAATGGCCTCCATGCTCTTTACCGCAAGCAGGCCGCCGAGAGGCGCGAGAAGATTGAGATCGAACGCGAAATGCGACGCGAGGCAAGACGCGCCATGCAACCTCGCCACGCCTAAGCCTGCTGCCATGGGCTCTCGACAACGCCAAGACTCGGTCGACTCTGACTCTGATTCCAGACATTGTTCCTGCTTCTGCGTCTGTCCTGTCTCTCACGATCCTTTACAATAACGCAAAACACACAAATACAGCACTCATGACTCGCATCTTTAGCTCACGACCTTGCTCTCGGCAACGCTTATCACAAAGTACATATTCCAGTCTGCAGCACGTTTCAACGACTCGTAATGACCATGTTCGGTTTGATCTACTGTGACTCGATGAGATAGATGTGTCGGCTAAATCAGCCAGGTCCGATCTGAGCAAGAAAGAGGTCAAGAGAGAATCTCGTGTCAGCGTAGGAAGCCTGAAAGGATCGTCCCGGTGAGGCAGTACCACCCAAATAGGGTGTCGCGCATCCGCGGAGATGCTCACCCTCGGCAGATCGAAGTGGTCGGTTTGAGCTATGACGATGCGCGCAAGGCCGATTAGAGATGGAGTATAGGCTCTACGTGTCAGCCTTGAGTGCTCGAAGATGCGATTGCTCGATGAGATGCTTTGCGAGACGCGGCACGAGCTCGCGTGTTGCTATGGCCCAAACTCGAGAGCATAGCCGACTGTATGCGATCATTGCTCCTCTCACAAATCCCTGTCTAAGCTACCTCGAATCGAGCGCTCACCACCATTCTTGTCCACCGCAGCTCGCTCCAACTCACCTTCAAGGTACTTGTTGAAATCGTCGACCTTCTCCTTGTGACTCTTCTTAGCCTCTTTGGCCACTCGTTCCCTCATCCTCTTCAACCTGACTTCCTGAAACTTTCTCTCAGCCTCCGTCATCGTTCGACCGTTTTTGGGCTTTGAGGAAGAGCCGGGATTGTTCTCTTGAGAATCTTCCACCAACGCCTGCTCTCGAAGCATCAAGCTTTGAGATTCAGGATCGTGCGAGCCGAGCTGCCCGTGCTGATCGTCGTATAGGATGGTCTTGGAGGAGGAGGAAGCGACGCTGGGATCGTGCGCATCGGGAGGCAAGGTCGGAGAGCTCTCATACTTGCTGCTGCTGTTGCCGCCGCCGCCGCTGATGCTGCTGCTGCTCTTTTTCTTCCTCTTGGACTTGCTCGAATCATCTCCTTTAAATTTGAGACTCCCACCGGGCTTGAATTTGTATGCGCTGCTCATGTGGCTGCTAGGGGGTGGCATGGTGCAAGCATGCGGCCAGAGCCGCCGTGGGTACGCCTAGCCGAAGGCGCGCTGTAGGGAAGCGAATCGGCGTGAGATGGCTTGGTGCGTGGCGTAGGGTCAGAGCACGACCAAGATGTCGAAGGTGAGCTTGGCGTGTGGAGTGTAATCAGGTCGAAGATGGACATTACGATCGTACGTGCAATCAGAATCGTGAATGCCGGTCCACCGCCATGCATGCCTGCCTGCCTGCCTGCCTGCCTGCCTGCCTGCTCGTCGCTTGCGTGCTGGCTCGACACCCGCATCGCTTCGACGTCGCGGCGGGTTCGGGCTCCGCGGAGGGAGGAACATGGCGCACGTGATCATTGAAAGCCCAAGCGCCAAATGCTTGGAACGCCATCCATCCAGGTTTGGGTTTTGAGTGCAGCAGCAGGTCCACAACTCGTGACTCTATAAATAAGCACTTGACTTGCACTTGCTTGTCCTCGCGAAGCCAAGGCTCTCACAGACCATTACTCACGACCCTGCTATCCTCATCGCCAACAAAGAGTCACGCGTGACGCTCCTGAAGAATCTCGCTTGAGCCAGGGCAAACCAGGCGGTACTCTGTTGGGCTCCTCCATCCAGCCCCGTCATTCGTGGCATCCCCACGCAACATCGGTATCGACCATGTCCCCTCCAACGCACGCACAGACGTACGCTTCTCGAGCGCAGAAGCTCAAGAACCCGGCAGGAAAAGCACTGCTGGAAGTGATGGAGCGCAAGCAATCCAACCTTTGCGTATCGGTGGATGTGACCAGCAAGAAAGATCTGTTGGATGTGGTCAAGAGCGTTGCGAAATTCGTTTGTCTCGTCAAGGTGGGTTCCCTGGAAGAGACGCATATAGCCCAGGTGCTTGGGCCGTGATAAGGTGCAGGGTCGCTCGCGTTGATTGTCTTTGGTTGACGATGCTCCTACTCGCTACAGACGCACATCGACATCGTGTCCGACTTTGATCAAGACTTGATCGATCAGCTCGTCGGTCTCTCCAAAGCGGAAGACTTTTTGATCTTCGAAGATCGCAAATTTGCCGATATAGGTCAGTTGCCCATCTCCCCTCTGAGCCCCTCGCTCTTTGCTACAACGACGATACTCGATCTTTCGTGCACACAGGCAACACCGTTTCGCTTCAGTATGGGGCAGGAGTGCACAAGATCGCCTCCTGGGCGCACATCACCAATGCCCACTTGGTGCCGGGTCCAGGTATCATAGACGGTCTCAAGACGGTGGGAGAGCCTTTGCAAAGAGGACTCTTGCTGCTGGCTGAAATGTCGTCCAAGGGAACTCTAGCCAAGGGCGGCTACTCGCAAGAATGCGTCAAAGCTGCGAGGGCCAACCAAGACTTTGTCTTTGGCTTTATCGCCATGCATCGTGTGCAGGACGACGACCTTGCCGATTCCGCCGCCCCGATTGAAAGGGACGCAGAGGAGTTTCTGGTGCTTACGCCCGGTGTGGGATTGGACGTGTCTGGCGATGCTATGGGACAACAATACAGGACGCCTCAGCAGGTCATCGGCGAGAGCAAATGCGACGTCATCATCGTGGGAAGAGGCATATACGGAGCTTTGTTGAAGAGCGATGATAGAGCGAGCGCGATTGAACAAGTCAGGAGACAAGGAGAGAGATACAGAGTAGCTGGTTGGCAAGCTTACGAGCAGAGGTTGACGGGTGCGTGAGCTTAGCCGTACGCCCTGTAGGTCCTTTAGTAAACAATGTCATCTTGCGTCATGTCTGATTCATCTTTCGTTTGTGCGTGCGCCACTCGTGACCCCTTAGATCATGCAAGCGTATCAGCTGCATCAGTGCTGCTCGACACTTCTGTGCCAACGTCTTCAGAGATGAACATCTTCGGGTACGGCAGTCTCATTTTCAAGCCGCCACCTCATACCATTCGAAGGACCGTAGGATACATAAGGGGTTTTACGCGGAGGTTCGCGCAGAGCAGCATAGATCACAGAGGCGTTCCTTCCAGACCTGGCAGGGTCGTCACTCTGGTCGAAGCCAAAGATTGGCACGCTTTTGCCGATGCGGAGGATACGCCAGAGGGGGACATTGTCTGGGGGGTCTGCTGGACTAGTGAGCGTCTCGGAGCGCTTTAGGACTTTGGACCACGCAGTCACGAGTGCTGACATGCAAAATCTAATTACGAGCGTTCAACTTCTAGTCGATCCGGCACACGCCAAGGACGTCAGGGCCTATTTGGACCACAGAGAGATCAATGGATATACGCCCACCTACACCGACATCTGGGCACCTTCCACGAACGCATGGAGCGCAGATGAGATAGTCGTCAAGTCATGCTTGGTCTACGTAGGCCTTCCAAGCAACCCAGCATTCGTAGGCCCTTCGAGATCCCTGCAGGAATTAGCAGAATACATTTACACTTGCTCTGGTCCTAGCGGAAGGAACGACGAGTACGTTCTGAAGCTGGCTAGAGCTACAAGGAACCTTTCGGATCAGGTGAGGGACTCTCATCTGTTCGAGCTGGAGAGGATCCTGCTCCAGATCCGCAAAAGAGAGGGACTACCGCTGCTGGATGATGATGTGGTGGATGAAGAGCGGGAACAGCGCATCATGGAAGAGGTGATCGCGAGAAACAAGGCCAACGGAAAGCCTTTGTAGCACACACTTTTGTCACGTCTCATTGCACATACACACATCGAACATGATCACGGCAACAACACAGCTTCGAAGGCATCTGTATTTTGGAGCAGTACGCGTGCATCGCGACAACGCTTTGAAGAGATAGTAGAGTGAGAGTACAGCACCGATCGCAAGACGCGGTTGACGAGGATTGTGTGGGTGAATGACTCTTATAGTACACGTGTGTCTGGTTATCGCGATGCCCCTGACGGCCCAAGGGCTTGACCGGCTTGGTTCTGAGAAGAAAGGCCGAGAAGTTCGTGGCTATAGAGTGGTGATTTGTGTGAAAGGCGCTGTTCGGTCTCATTTGCAGAAATGACAAAAAGTCGATATCGAATGCTCCGGAGTACTCTCTCTGTCCAATTGTCTTGCCGCAAGCTGCATTATGCCGCCGCCGCCACTGGTTGTGGTGCCGAGGCGTCCGGTTCCGTCATGGGGCTCAGCAGCTCACGTCCACGCATCACAAGGGCAGCTGGATAGCCGCGCTCTGCCATGCGATCGGCCAGACGAGCAGCTTCAGCCTTCTGACCAGCTGCGACTTCCGCTCTGATGAGCTCGAGCCAAGTGCTGGGCTCTTTCTGCACGTCGCGCATGGCATGCGCGAGGTGATGCTGAGATGCTCGGGCGACTTCTGCAGGGGTAGGCTCGTGCGAGATGCCATCGCTGGGACCGGCGCCTGCGTGATGTTGACGATGTCCCATTGGATGATTGCCGATTGCAGCCATACCGACAGGCGGATCGCGCATCTCGTTGAAGACTGCGCGAGCACGGGCGAGCCCTTCGCTAGTGCCCTCTGAACTGAAAGCGCGAATGACGAGGTTGGCCACGTATGCCGTCAGGCCCACGCTCGCGTCCGCGCGCATGCGGTCGATGTATTGCTGCACCAGGTCCACGCGACCGTGTTGCAAAAGCACGCCCAATAGAGCCTCATAAGCAACAGAGTCTGGCATAGCGGTGGATGGTTTGTAATGCACTCCGGCTTGCCAGGATGTACGTGCGAGTGTGGATGGGTGTCGAGCGATGGACTCAAAGACAGCGATGGCCCTGTCGACGTCCGCAGCACCGTACGCGTTGATGAGCGAAGCCCAGTGAGTGCCGTTGACCTGCGCGTCTTGATCCATCACGAGCTGATTAAAGATAGACTCCATCTCTTGAAGCATGGGAGGCTGCAGCAGACCAAAAGTGTCAAGCAAGAGCTTGTAAGTGTGCTCGGATGGCTGCACCCGCAATCTCTGCATTTTCTCGTAATACAAAAGGGCCTTCTCGCGATCTCCATTGTTGACGAAGTACTGTATAAGTGTATTGAACGGTGGCGGGCGCAGTGAATAGCGCCGGGACCTCCCATTTGCGTCGCCTTCCAGGATTGCAAAGATGCGTTCAGCGTTCGCGATATCGCCCGTGCGCACGCAAGCATTGATGACGGAACCAATGGTCACCACAGTGGGTTTCAGGTCGCGTCCTGGCTCTTGCATCTCGTGGAAGAGTTGCAAAGCGAGCTCGGCCTTGCGTGCCCGGGCGAGCTTCGAGATGGTTGCAGTGTACAGGTAAGCCGAAGGCACGCAGCCAAGCCGCTGAGACTCGGCAAACAGCTCCTGGGCAACAAGGGCGTCGTCGGTAGTGTCGTTGATGTTGGCGATCAGCGCGCCGTACGCGCTCGCATCGGGTACGCGCCCTGCGTTGATGATGCGATGACGGAAGATGGACGCAGCGTCTGTCTCACCAGCATGGGCCAGAGCGGCCATCACCGCGTTTTCTAATCTGTACCAGGATTCGACTTGCCATTTCTGGTCGCCTCCGATCGACTGCACCAGAACAGAGCCCATGCTGTAGAGTTCCCATAGACGGTCGAGCTTGCCTCGTCGTCCGGCATCGTCGATTAGCAGTTCCATAGGTGGGATGTCGATGTAGCTTCCCACTTGGGAGAGCGACTCCGTCACGTTCGTCCAAGCTCGGTCGCAGGCTTCGTGTCGCCTACTAGGGTTTTTGACGGACGATAAAGTATCGTGAATTCGGGCACTCTTGTCGAGATCGATCATCTGCACCTCGGGAAGAGGGCGAACAGGCAAAGGAGCTAACACGGGGGGCGGCAGCATGGAATGGGGCGCCGCGTCCGAGCCTTCCTCGGCATTAGAGTGCTCGAGAACCGATGTCGGTGCCGTAGAGACGGGCGAGCGCAGCTGGTCGTGACTGGACTCGCTGCCAGCAGTGTCGAGCGGAGTGGCAGACTCGGGTGCCGAAGCTGCGCTCGCAGCAGGCTGAGCGGCGGAAGGGCTTGGATCGATGCTTTGAGCAAATTGTCGGCCAGCCTCGCCGTGCCTCTGAGCTGCGATCGTTTGTACGCGTCCGACAAGCGCTGAAGCGTGCTGCGATTTGGCGAGCAAGCTGATCCATAACATGCCAAGACCATCTTCTTTGAAAGCGTTGAGGTCCTGCGGGCGCAAGCGTTCTTCTTCGATGGCGAAAGCTTCTTGAAGGCATTTGAGTTCGGTGAGTGTCAAGCCCTCAGTCCATGCTGTGGGCAAATTGTGACGCGAGAGCCGGAAAAGTTCGGTGAAGCGCTTTACGAGCTCGTCGTTCGACCAAAGGTCAGCGACCGAAGCAAAGGTGGCGGTGAAAATGTATCGACAGGCACAGTCGAGCAAAACGACTGGACTGGCATCTGCGGAATTCAAGATTTGAAGTGCAGCTCCCTGCAGCTTCGATCTCGTCTGCTCATCGAATGCGCCCAGGTGCCCGTCTTGCAAGCGAGGTCCGCGGCGGGCAATCCATGTGAGCGTAGAAGCGGCATCTGTGGATCTGCCCGTCGCAGCAAGGCCATCAACGGTCTGGAGCACGGCTTGGACAAATTTCTCTGCACCCTGATCTTCAACGTAGTCTCGAGCTCCTAAGCGCTTTGGCTCGCTGACAAGAGGCACTAAGGCGATGTTCCGTTCCAGCAGCTGCGTAGCATGTTCACGCTCTTCTCCAGCTGACAAGGCTTTGGCTGTCGCTGCGTTGAGTATCATGAGATGCAAGAGCGTTGCGAGGGCTTCGGGCGCTTGCTGTAGCGATAGACGAGAATTGTCGTGGCCATTGAATACTGCTTCAGCAGCCACGTTGGCAATGAGCAAAGGTCGCAAAGTCTGTTGCGCATCTCGTGTGTACGCCTCAGGATCGTCTTGTTTGAGAGTGTCCACGATGAGCTTTGAAAGTTCGTAGAGGCTTGGCTTTGAGAGATGACCTCTGGCACTTTGATGGTCCCCTTTCGTGAGGCTGGCGTGCTGCTCGTACCAGGAGCAGGCAGAGGCAACGTCTCCTGAGTGAACAAAGCCCAGAACAAGGTTTGATACCCGCGCACTGGCCACCTTGATTTGATGTTTCGCTGCATCCCCTTTGAGATCCTGCGCCGAGGAACCATCGGGAGGCAGAGTCTGACTCAGAAGAGCTACAGCGCCTGGTGCATCGCTTGCTGCAAAGTGGGCTCTGACCAGAGCATCGAAAAGGTTGTTTGGATGCTTGTCGGCTTTGATGTCAGTATCTACTTGCGACTGCGCTTGTTGAAAGACTCGCAACAGGTGTTGCGTCGGTGCCTGCCTCTGCGCATCGCTTGGCTCCTCTATCAGAGCTTGAGCGGCCACGATGGAGTGCAGCAAAGGAGCGTACGCTCGAGCATGCTCGCGCGCATCTTTGGCAGCAGGTCTGCCCATCTCGAGCAACCTTTCGCACTTCTGCACGTCACCTCGCAGAGCAGCGAGCTCCAAGAAGCTCTGCCATGGTGCGGCGTGACCAGCGGCGTGCGCAGCGCAAGTGAGGCTCCATGCAAGAGAATAGTGCTGATCCGCTGCCACGTTCTGCGATCCACTTGCAATTTGAGCAGTCAGATCCGCACTTGTCAATGGCAATTTTTCTGGCAAAGCGCTGAGGCCAACTTGGCTGAGCAACTCCGAGCGTTCAGCGTTCAAGAGACAGGCGATGACGCAGTCGTAGGAGCGCCCGTCGGGGAGGAGATCCACATCCAAAAGGCGTTTCCAAAGGCCGATGGCGAGCTTGGCCGAGGCAGTGGCGCCGAGCACATCCTGACTTGCGGATAGTAGCCTAAGGCATAGATTCAAAGTGGAAAGAAGGGCTTCTTCCTTTGGTAATCTGCGCACCTGACCAGCGATTTCAGTTATTCTGGTTGCCATCCACGGCCGTCGTTCGCCAACTCGAAGCAAACGGAATAACTGAGTGCAATTACCCTCGATGGTCTGGATTGTCGAACTTTTCTCTTTGAAGCGTTTTTCACTAGAGAATTTGACGACATTCAGCGCTTGTTCCTCCTCGCTCCGCTGCAGCGAGTCCGTATCGCGCTTACTTTGCGCTGTCGGTATCCTGATGCCTTTGGATGTGGAAGCAGCACGTCTTTTGGTAGGAGGCGGCTGAACCGCCTCGACGACCTCGGGATCCACGCGGCGTGAAGCTGACGTAGTCGATAGGGAGCGCGAGCGCATCTCCTGGCGTCCCGAAGCATCTTGAATGTGTGGCGATGACGGCACCGTGGTAGAGGTGGAGGGTGGGCCGGTAGCTGTAGAGATCGAGCGACTCAGCTCGAGACTTGGCCGTGTATGCGATGATGCCTCGCAGCCGTGCGCCCCGACGAGCATTGGCTGCTTGGTGTTGTTGAAGGCATCGGCAAAGCGTCTCTGAAATTGAGCGCTTGGGGATATTTGCTGCCTGAGTGCGAGAGCGCGTGAGCTACTCTGCGGGTGCCTGTGCGCGAGCTCCTCCTCATCATCGAATCCTGTTGACCCATCGTTCGAGCCCGAAGCGGAAGCATTGGCGAGCGCACGACTTGAGCTCTACATGCGAGATGATAAAGGATGAGAGGAGTGTCAGCCTACAGTGAGTGCGAACAAGCGGGGCGCTCGACGGCAGATGTCACCCACCTGAAAGTGTGAATGCGCGCCTCGCCCAGCGTGATACTTGGCGCCTCCGATCCCAGCTCCACTTCCACTACCGCTCAGTCCTTGCGCTGTCGAAGAAGCCGATGAGGATGCGCCCGAGCTGAAGGCATTGCGAATACCTTGCGCACCATTGTGTGCAGCAGCACCGGCTGCCGCGCCTCCAGCCGCTGCACCAGCAGCGGCATACCGGAGGAACGACGAAGCGAACTTGGCCGCTATGGGCATGGGGCGACAATTAGCCCTCTAGAGCTGTTGCTCGCGACCAGGAATAGCTGCAATGATGGTAGCTGCGTCGATGGACGCTTCAAAGGCGTGGGGATGACCGGCGCTAAAAGCAACGAGAGCTCAGCGCCACAAGTTGTGCGCAAATTGGTCGCTGGCGGTCTCGGTCAAGCCAATGAGAATGGATCGATTGATCGATTCCGGATTGCTTCGTGGCTGATGTGTTTGTCCAAACGTGTGCGTGATTGGTTGTCGTGGATCAGGAAGGATAGCTGGAGAACGATGACCGGGCTGCAACGTCGACTCACACTTTTGACTTGAACGTCCAGATTCTCGCATCAAGGCGCGCGTGGTCGATTCCAGAAATTCTGTAAGCTGATGCCCGCGATGCCCCCATGCGGGCCCGCCCACTCAGTCGAGTAGTGATTCGGTGCAAGCCGGTCCGGTGCGCGACGGAGAACACGTGATTTGTGCATGTCCGGACCCGACTGCGCATCAGGCGCTTACATTCGAGAATATTTGGCGCATCCTGCCGAAGCAATTTCGGTTCCGTGGGTACCGCGCTTTCCACCGGACACCGCGCGATCGACGTTTTGTGATTTGTTTTCATATCCACATCCGCTTTCACATTCAAGATCCAAATTCACAGTCACGACCCCCGTGATGATTCGTGATTCGCGGACTGTCAATTGTGAATGCTCAGCCGTACAACCGGGATCACTGAAAACATTCACGTCACAAGTTTGAGCCGTTGGCCAATGTTTGGCGACTCACGACTGTTGATGCTGCACGATCATCCTCGCCGCAAACTACACGCGCATTAGCATCGAGCTCCGACGCATCAAAAGCATGATCGCTGTTCAAGCTCCGCTCACGCGGAGGTTCATTGCCAGAATGTCGCTGCGGGTTGGCGTCGAATGGATGAAGCCAAATCGCACGGAAAGATCCTCTGCAGGTAGGTAGCTGGTCACGACTAGTAGTAGTAGTACTGGCTGAGAAAGTCGAGCTTAGTCGGCGTAAGGGTCATGTCGAAGTGCACGTCTTGGAGTCGGTCGGGGAGTTTTGCGTACCTAACAGGCTCCATGGCTTGCAGGGAACTCGGGTAAGATACTGCTGCATGTATGCAGTCGCTCGCCACCCGATTGATGCTGTCATGCTAGCTTCTGCTCTGCAAGCGCGCAAGACATCCCGTGGATTTGTGCTCGCCACTGGACGTCGGTCGAGCAAGCTTTCCATGGCATGCGATACTCACAATGACGCGAGCAGGAGGGAGCGCGATCCTGTGGTCCGTGCTGCATACACCTTCAGCATCGACAATAGTCACCCGGAATGGGCGAGG